ACCAGCCATGGGAGACAGAAAACATATAACACCATTTATTCATTCTTTTCAATAAACATTATTGAATGCCTATATTTTGTTCTGCTCCCAGGCTGGGCACTGGGGAAATGATTGAAAGACAGTTCCCACCTGCAAGAGAGCTCTGGGTTCAGTCAGGGAGGGAAACATGTCAAGGGAAATAAAAGAACAGTCTGGAAGTTCCAGAGGAGAAAGAGATTCAGCAGTTTTCTGAGAGTGAGTTTTACGGGAAGATTATGTATGTTTACAGACACACCTGCACAATCCTTTCCAGAAGGGTGAGTGAGAGAAAATGGGGGAAAAGGGACAAACAGAAAACCATCTTTAATAAATAACTACATAGGAATTGGGAACAACCTTCATAAATGAATAAAACACGTGCCCATGGGGTCAGAAATGCTAAAAAGGGCCTCGAAGCCCCCCCCCAGTGTATCTTCCTTGTTTTCTGTCTAATGTAGGAAACACTCTGAGCTGGGAACTAATACTGTAAACCCACTGTTAGACTTGACAACGTGTAAACCAATGCCATAAATAAACACGCGAGTGTAACTGACAGATTCTGGACAGTCTGACAGTAAGTCCGCAGAGAGCTACCCAAAGTCATAGGAAACGGGAAAAATTAAGGGCTAGACAAAGTGGTGTGTTGCCTTCCATGTTTTTATTTTACCTTGTTTTAATTTACATGCAGTAAAAGGCACAGATCTGAGGTGCTGGAGTGGAGATCGCACGAATGCGAATGCTCGTAGAGCCCACTATCCCCATCCAGACCTGCAACGTTTTTACTATCCCACTGAGTTCCCTTCAGCCCTTTCCAGGCAATCTCCACTGCCCCCTGGCCAAAGGCAATCGCTGTTCCAATCCATTTTGCCATAGATTAGTACACCGTCTGTGTTCTTAAATTTTACATAAGTGGAAAAATTCCGCAAGCGCCCTCGTTCCTGGCGTCTTTCATTTGGCACCGTGTTTCCACTTGTTATGAAGAACAGTGACTGCTCCCTTTGGCTGACTGAGCGGTAGTCTGTTGGAGGAAGAGACCACATTTTGTCTGTCAAGATCTGTTGACGGACATGTGGGTTGTTAGCAGGTTTCAGCTATTACGGAAAGAGCTACTTTGAACATTCTCGTATGCGTCTTTTTGTAGATATATGTGTTCATTTCTACCGGGTAGATAACTAGGAATGAATTGTTAGGTCAGTGTGGGTTTTAACATTTTTAGTGAGACTTATCATAAAAGTAGGAGCATTTAAACTTGACCTTGAAGGATGAGGTGGAAAAGGAAATAAGGGCCATCCAAGCGGTAGGGGGAGATGGGCAAAAGCAAGGGTAGAAAGGGAAGTTGCTGCGGAATCTGAGAAGGTGAATGGTCAGATGTGAATCATAAGGTGCACGGAGGGTGTTCTTTCTGGCAACCAGCTCCTGGGATGTTTCCAAAGCTTTGTTATTGTTAGCAGAGTCTACGGAGTCTGAACTAATTACGGGAACTTCTGCAAGTGTTACTAAGCTTCTCAGAAAATGTCATTGTTTCTGGGAAGCCTAAGAAAATAGCAAGAATGAAGTCCTACCTCCCATTCAAGTAGATCTGATTCGGGAGAACTGGGTGCGGGAATCTGGTCCACCACTCTCATCCAGACAGCATTTCCATTGTATCTTAAAAAAAAAAAAAACAGGGTCTGGACAAGAACAGGTCTTCCCCTGGGGGACCCAGGCTCAGCCACCTTGATGGCATAAGCCAGTTCTCTGTCCTCTTCTCTACTCTCAGATCTGTACCTAAGAGCTGCTTGTTGTAGGACAGGTCAGTTCATGGGCTGGAAGCATATATTGTTCAAGCCCCCTTTAAGTATATTATGCAACTCTTTGAATGGATGAGAATTTTTTTAAAGTTTATTTATTTAAGCGATCTGTACGTCCAACGTGGGGCTTGAAGTCATCACCTCAAGACCGAAAGCTGCGTGCTCTACTGACTGACCTGGCCAGGCATCCCTGAGTGGATTAGGGTTCTTCTATATCTGAGCATTAAAAAGGAAAAGGAATGGTTGCTGAGTGGTTCAGTCTGCTCTCTTTAGTTTTTCAACCCAAAATACGATTCGTAATTATTAACTGATAACCAAGATTTCTAGCTCTACATTATTTGCCTTGGCTCTCCCAACTATTCTCCAAGAAAATGGATTCCCAAGCCACAATCTGCCCCCCAAAGCCCTGACTCTTGAGAAAGGTATGTAATATTCATAAAATTAAATACAGTAACAGCAATAACACACAGAGACACACCCCTTACCACACAGACAGACCATGTAGCTAAGAGTTTGGAGCTATTCCCACATCTTCCTTCCGAGGACTCAACCATTCATAAGCTAGTCATGCACAGGATCAAACAGCCTGGGGTAGGTTACACGGCAGGTATAGGGGGGAAAAAACCTCAGGGAGTTAAAAGCAGAGGCTTACTGCTCACTCCCACTACTCACTTGCACTGGAATGTTGTTGAAGGGTAAGGAATAAGGAGCCTTGGGACTAGTATTTCTACCCCTAACCCTGCCTCCCGGATCAGGACCTGTAACCCCTCCGAACTCAACTACTTCACCTACAGGATAAAAACATTGTGCCAGATGATCTCTAAGACCCTTTCCAACCCTGGTATTCTGTAACAAATAAAGAAAAATCACCAAATCACGAGAACGCTCATCAAACAGGCCCATATTTACTGGACTGAACCACAATTTGGCTGCTCCAATTACTTTGGTCATTTCCACGATCAATAATGTTCTCAGTGGCCCAATCAATTAAGCCACCAGCTGCGGGGATCATTAAGGTGAATAAGGCCCCCTGACGGACTGTGCATGAGCCATTCCTGCCTCTGTGCTCTGCCAAGGCTAAAGGGGAAAATGCCCAAGTGTCCCTTTAATTCTGGCTCTTTATCTCATGTTGTCTTGGCCCCTATTTTTGAAGTGGAAATGACTAACAGTGCCACGCTAGTCGAAGAAAATGGAGAACATGGAGCCCGTATTCCGTGTTGTAGTCTTGAAAACTCCTCCCTGGCATACACTTGGACTAGGCACAGGAAAAACAAACTCAGGGTAAGACTCTGCTTCTGCCCCTCAGACACACACAGGCTCCTACATAGGTCGGCAAAGAAAGAACCCTCCCGCCCTCAGATCCTGGCACTCCTGGTTCTTGAGCCTTTGGATTCGGACCGGATGACTGCACAAGCGTTGCCGGGTCTCCAGCCTGCATGTAACAGACAGTGAGACTTCTCAGCTTCCATGACTGTGGGAGCCAATTCCGGTCATGCTGAGACCTTTATCTCTAGTGGGATCTGATTCTCCAGAGAACTCTGACAAATGCGCCCTACTGGCTGCTTCCAGACGTGCCTTGCGTAAGGGCTCTGAGGCTAAACAACCTTGGGAAACATCATGTACCGTTTCCCTCCTCTGTCACAATAGACAGCAGCGTAAAGGATCCTGGGCAGCCTGCAGCTAGAAACTTCTTCAGTCGTATTTCATCCAACTCTTCAAAACCTTTTAGTCCTCCTGAACCCTTTGAAGTCTTCATAGAATGAGTGCTTCATGGAACTTACTTGAGAGGACAGCTGGCTAGAATTACATGAATTTACCATGACTATACATTTGCTTAAATATTTTTCTTGAAGCAAGACATTAATAATAGGAGCTTTAATTTGATAGGATGCCCAGAACTAGCCTTACACTTTCTCAAGGTTCAAAACACAATGAAGTTGAAACAATGACTATTTATTTTAAATTAATTTTTTTAAAGATCTCTATGCCCAACGTGAAGCCCAAACTTGAAACCTCAGATCAAGAATTGATACTCTACGGGGGCGCCTGGGTGGCTCAGTCGGTTAAGCATCTGCCTTCAGCTCAGGTCATGATCCCAGGTTCCCGGGATGGAGCCCCACGTCGGGCTCCCTGCTCCATGGGGAGTCTGCTTCTCCCTCTTCCAGTTCCCCTCACCCCCACTCTTATTCTTTCTCACTCTCTCAAATAAATAAATAAAATCTTTTAAAAAACATAGAATTATGGGAGGAAATAGTTACAAAAAGACACAGGTAAAGGACTGTCATTCCAAAAATGCAAAGAATTCTTACAACTCAACAATAAGAAAATAACCCTACTAAGAAATGGACCAAAGATCTGGACACCTCACCAAAGGTAATATACAGGTAACAAACATATGAAAAGATTCTCAACACCACATGTCATCAGGGCATTGTGAATTACAATCACAAGATACCACTGCACACCTATTGGAATGGCTAAAATCCAAAACACTGAGAACACCCAATGCTGGTGAGGATGTGGAGCAGTGGAGAGTCTCATTCATTGCTGGTGGCAAAGCCAATGATACTGACACCTGAGAAGATAACCAGATGGCTTCTCTTACCAAAGAATCCAGAACTTATGCTGCTTGGCATTTACTCAAATGAGTTGACAGTGTATGTCCAGGCAAAACCTGCACTCAGATGTTTACAGAACTGCTATTCATAACTGCCCCAACTTGGAAGCAATTGAGATACCTTTCAGTAGATGAATGGGTAAATAAATTGTGGTACATCCAGACAATGGAATATTATTCACTGCTAAAAATAAAATGAATGTTCTTGCCACAAAAAGGCGTGGAGTGAGACATGTTTCTAAGAGAGAAAAAAAAAAAGCCATTCTGAAAAGGCTATGTACTGTGTAATTCCAACTATATGATGTTCTGGAAATGGCAAAACTACAGAGACAGTGAAAGCATCAGTGGCTGTCACCTCCTAGGGAGGTAGAGAGTGGGGGATGGGTAGGCAAGGCATGGGGGCGGGTGGCTTAGGCCAGGGAAACGGCTGTCTGAGATACCCTAACGGTGAACGCTTGACATCACACATTGGTCAAAACTCAGAGTCTGTAACACAAAGAGTGAACCCTGATGTCAACTTTGAACTTTAATGCCATTGCAGTATTTGTTCATCAGAGTACACCACACACTGGGGCGCCCGGCAGGCTCAGTCGGTAGAGCACGAGACTCTTGATCTCAGGATCGTGAGTTCAAGCCCCACGCTGGGCATAGAGCCTACTGAAAACACAGAAAAACAAAAAATAAAAAACAGTATGCCACACTCATGTAAGATGCTAACAGTAACTGTGGGAAGGACAGAGGTAAGTGGGAATTCCCCGCATTTCTGGTTAACTTTTCTGTAAACCTAAAACGGCGCTGAAAAATAAATACCTATTATAAAACACACACGCAACATTTTTTTTTAAGCCAGAAGCCATGGATGCTGAGAAGCTATCTACTGGAGGAAAGGAGGGGTGAGGAAGGGCAGGTGGAGCTAGAACAGATAGCTGGCTTGGGTGCTGAGTGCCGAGCTTCAGACCTCCCTTGGGGACAGAGCAGGACCAAGAGCTCCGCCCCTGCGCCCAGGGTCCCGCCCTGCCTCAGCCAGTCCACTCCCCTTCCGTGACCCCTTGGACAAAGGTCTCCACCTCCCACTCAGATTAACAGCTTTTATTTATTATTCATTTATTTATTTATTTATTTGTCTATTTATTTATTTGTGAGAGAGAGAAAGAGCGCGCACAGGCAGGCAGAGAGGCAGGCAGAGGCAGGGGGTGAGGGAGAAGCAGGCTCCCTGCCAAGCAAGGAGTCTGATGCAGGACTCGATCCCAGGACGCTGGGATCATGACCTGAGCCGAAGGCAGCCACTTAACTGACTGAGCCGCCCAGGCGTCCCAACAGCTTCCTTTTTAAAAGGCACACAGTAAAAGTACCTGTTAAAGACTCCTACAGACATCAAGTCAGAGAAGGCACCTACAGCACGGAGCAGAGTCACAGGCTGTGCTAGGATGTCGATAAATGAATATTCACATTTATCATCACAATCAAATCTCTTAAACATTTTAAACCTGTTGATGTGTAAAACAACAACAGCAACAACAACAACAAGGAAACTAGCTACAGGGAGTGCTGTGTAAATGGCTCATCTTGTTGGCCCGCTAGTGTCTAGGTGATCCCTCTGCTTCTGTCCGGACAACTGGCCTCCAAGAACCTAACTGGCTCTCGTCTTTTTTTTTTTTTTTTTTTAAGATTTTATTTATTTATTTAACAGAGAGAGAGATCACAAGCAGGCAGAAAGGCAGGCAGAGAGAAGGGGGGAAGCAGGCTCCCCACTGAGCGGAGAGCCTGATGCGGGGCTCAATCCCAGGACCTGAGATCATGACCTGAGCCCAAGGCAGAGGCTCTAACCCACTGAGCCACCCAGGCACCCCCAGACTGGGCCTCTTCTAACCTTCTTCTCTATCTCAGCAGCTCTAGCGATTTTCACTGCTGTCCTGAGCGCTGTTCTTGTCTATAACCAGCCAAATCCTGCCACTCTGTGAATGACTCTCCTGGAACAAGTCAAGCCCTAGAGCAAACTACCACAATCAAATCTTGAAGGCCGCGCGAGGATTTGCTAATAGAATATTCCCACCGTGCATTCGAGAGAGTACCTTCGCCTCTTGGGTCAGTTCCCATCGCATTCCGTGCTTATTCCCACAGAGCAAATGCTTTCTGTGTGTGGATGATGTCCTATGATTTTATGTCACTGATAATTATTAGTACTGACTTAGAAAGGTCCCATTTTCGATAGACGCATGCCCAAGTTCCTTCAAATACTGTATGTGACATAGTTTATTAAAATAAAATTACTTTAGGGGCACCTGGGTGGCTCAGTGCATTAAGCATCAGTCTTCGGCACAGGTCATGATCTCAGGCTCCTGGGATCGAGCCCCGCATCAGGCTCTCTGCTCAGAGGGGAGCCTGCTTCTCCCTCTGCCTGCTGCTCCCCATGCTTGTGCGCTCTCTGTCTCTCTCTCTCTCTCTCTCTCAAATGAATAAAGATCTTTTTAAAAAATAAAATAAATTAACTTTAAAATTAGTCATCTTTGCCTACAATCAAATGTTTAACCACTCAGCATGATTTCCCCCTAACTTTACCAAAGCCAGGAAATTTCTCAGCCTTTGTAAAAATACATTGTTCATGTACAAAATCATAAGCACTTTTCCTACAGGGATCAACTCAGTCACCATATTAAAAATAACTAATTAACTTCCTGTGCCACTGATTAGACATAGCATCCAATACTAATCATTATCATCCACTCTCAAATTTGCAACCTTGCTTCCTCTTCCATGACATGAAAGATTTCACTGCAAGAGCATGAGCCTTATCGTGGACCCTGAGTCATTTATCACCAAGAAGTATGGTTCCTTTAATCAACCAGCCTTAACAGGCACTGGATTTGTCAGAGGAAACAGGTATGTGCTTTTATCCCCTTGACTTACCATTATCTAATAAGGCAGGGAAAAGAAGACAAATTTGTTGAAGAGAAAAAACTGGATGGAAATATGTTTAATGTTTTTTTAAGATTTTATTTAATTGAGAGAGAGAGAGAGAGCATGAGGAGGAGGAATGGGCAGAGAGAGAGGGAGAAGCAGGCTCCCCACTGAGCAGGGAGCCCAATGTGGGACTTGATCCCAGGACCCTGAGATCATGACCTGAGCTGAAGGCAGACTCACTGAGCCACCCAGCCACCCCTTAAATGTTTTTTTTTTAAGTTTATTAATTTAAATAATTTCTACCTCCAATGTGGGCTCAAACTCAGGAGCCCAAGATTGTGAGCCACACAGTCTTCTGACTGAGCCAGCCAGGCACCCCACAGATGGAAATCATTTTAAATGACGTATCTCTATCCCAGACACCGGTCATGTTACCTCCTAAAACGATTCGGATTGGTACATTAACAGCAAGCAGAACATTTGAAAAACAGGGATAAAAATCCATCCAAATCTATTTAAAAATCATCTAAATCTACTGGGAAAATATCGCTGACGATTATCCATCTATTGCCTTAAGAATGAAAAATACAAAGCAAGCTCAGGAACTAAAACTGAGGGACATAGCTCAGTCCTCAGCTAAGGCTACTCCTGGCAAAGGTAGACAGACGCACCTGCCGTTGTCCTGCAGGTGATTTTGAAAATGTTAAAGCACCCCACGCAGGATGCTTGAATTGTTGTAAGAGAAATACTGTATGGCTTTTTTGGCCACTTGGAAGCGTAATGATGGGCAGGGCAAGGATCTATGTGAACAGAGGAATCTAGCCCTGTTAGGGAGGTCTAGGTAGGCAAGGAATTGGTGCTAGTAGGCTGGTTTTAAGAAAGCAAAGCAAAGGAATGCAAGAAGAGAGCCCAAAGCTGTCAACATCTGCAGAGGATCAGGGAAGTAAAAAGGTCTCATGAGCCACACGGGAGTAGTCAGAGTCCAAAGTCATAGTGGACTATCCAAGACACAGAAAGGAAAAAAATCAGGGTATATAGTGCTGAGCTAGCAAGCAGCATTATTCTACCTAAACCCAGATTTGTACACCATAGAGTTTCTTAGCATATTGCTACGAAAGATGGGCTACTGGGTGCTAACAGACACTAAGTCCTGGGGAACGGCAGTGAAGAAGAAAGTCCTTGCACTCTTGCACAAGGTTTTAGTCCTGAGACACACACACTCAGCCAGGATACAAACAGGACAATTTGAGGAAAGACTACAAGCTATGAAGACAAAAAAGGAAGGACCAGAGTGATAACAGGTAACGGGAACGGACAGAGGGCAAATGTCAAGTGGTATTGGAACAGAGATTTCAGTGAACTCACTGTCCACGGCTCTTTCCAAAGAGGCATCAGAATGGGAAGGCCAGGGGCACCTCGGTGGCTCAGTTGGTTGAGTGCCTGCCTTGGGATCAGGTCATGACGTCAGGGTCCTGGGATCCAGCACCCCCCCACAACCGCCGTCTCCCCACCACCCGCCCCTGTCACCCTGTCAGGCTCCCTGCTCAGTGGGGAGTCTGCTTCTCCCTCTGCCGGCTGCTCTCCCTGCTTGTGCTCTCTGTCAAATAAATACATAAAATCTTTAAGAAAGAATGGGAGGGCCAATTTCCCAGGAGTGGGATGTGAGCCAATCTGAGGCAGCTTTCGGGGGTAACTTTTTAAAAAATTTCAAGAGTTTTTACGGCAAGGTATACTGCTTTTCTGTTTAAGACAGTGATAAAAATTTAATGAAGTTACTGAAATAAAAAAACAGGAACTTAACACTCTTCAATACATATAACAGCACAGTTAACAGATAAAAGAAAATTCGGAAAAAAGTACAAGAAGAGTCGAACTAGTCAATTGAGTTCATGACGTTGGTTGTAATTAATATCACCAAACTGGAACCTTCTGAAACATTAGTACCCTGATTGGAATGCTCTCTTCCTTCTGCAGATCAAGAGAAAAAGAAAGTGTGGGCACCCAGCTAATTAAAAGTAGGGGGGAACAAATATTTTTTTCTTGGATTCTAGAGAAAGAATGCAGAAATCACTGTGTCCTATTTAAAAATTGCACGATTCGGGACACCTGGGTGGCTCAGTTGGCTAAGCGGCTGCCTTCGGCTCAGGTCATGATCCCAGCGTCCTGGGATCGAGTCCCGCATCGGGCTCCTTGCTCGGCAGGGAGCCTGCTTCTCCCTCTGCCTCTGCCTGCCATTCTGTCTGCCTGTGCTTGCTCTCTCTCTCTCTCTCTCTCTCTAACAAATAAATAAATAAAATCTTTAAAAAAATAATTGCACGATTCAACTCGGACCCACTTTCCTCCCAGGCTGTGGTCAATGTCTTCACTTCCACCACCTGTCCTCCAATATCACAGTCTTTGTCTTAATCCGATTCAAGTGTTGAGCTCAGCAAGGGCAGTGGCCATGCCATCCAGGATTTCATATGTGTTTTATGTCCTGGCACAGCGTTAATGCCACATCTTAGGTTAAGTGAAGAGGTGGGCAAGCAAATTGATCAAGTAACACGATTTTGTGTTTGCGAACTCTGGTTCAGGATGAACAGAAGTGACTGTGCAGAGCTGGGACAGTATCTCCTACTGTTAAGTCAGTGTCACTTTTGGAAAAACACTGACATAAGTTACATGAGGGTATCAGATGCTGAAAGAAAGAGAGAAAGAAAGCCAGCCAGCCAGCCAGCCAGCCGTGAACATCCTGACCAAAAACTGGG